GTTTGACAGACAAGGAGGGTGGCCGGCTCGCATGCAATCAGCGAGGACGACGTTTATAGAATCGAGATGGCTAACTGTGGCGTGTGCAACCAGTATGAACGTTAGACGAGAGGGAGCATGTGCCGGCATGCGAGATCCGCTTACTACTGCGCAACTTCCTCGACTCCAAAGGCCTCCTCCACGCCATTTCCCTCTCTCTCTTGACAAGTCCATGCAACGTTCGAGTTGACGTCGATTTTTCACCCCATTTTTGGCAGGAATTGTTTGATTGGCTGATTTTTCGTCTCTTATTCCCGAGTTATTTGATTCGAGTAATGGCCGTCGAGCTTCCGCCCCGCGAATTGTGTTCCTCCGTACAGCTCTTCCACGAGCCCTGCAACCGAGGACACCTCTCTGGGACCCCTTTAAAGATTATTCCCAGGGTTATGTTGCATACCTGGCCATCAAAATGCCCACATCCTTTCAAGAGGAGGGTGTATTTTTATTGTGTCGATTTTTGCTCGAAAAGGCATCGCACACCGATCATGAACTATTTTGTGCGGTCAAAGCCAGAATAGTTTGTTCAATATAGACGTACCCATCAAATTGTGCACAAGGCGGGAATGGGGCGTCGTTCACGTGGCGCTCATCCTGCGCCAAGTTTCGGCGCCAGCGAGCGAGTCTGGCATTGGCGCCAGTTCCAATCTATGCTGGACCATCGCCAGCCACATTTTTCATCTTGCTTCGCACCCACCCATCGATCCTCATGAGTCTGGAACTGGTGTACTTTGACGAGACGTGGCGCGCGGAGGCGATCCGATTGCTCCTGGCGTACGGCAACAAGTCGTTCGAAGACACGCGTCTATCGTTCCCGGCCTACTCGGCAGCCAAGCCGACCCTCGGCCTGCCGTTTGGCCAGCTCCCCGTCTTGCGCACGAACGGGAAAACGTACGCCCAGAGCATTGCGATCGCACGGTATGTCGCCAAGGAAGTCGGGCTGTACCCGACGGACAATCTCGACGCCCTTGAAGTCGACTCGGTCGTGGACGCAATCGTGGAAATGACCAACGTGTTCGTCGACGCCGTCCACTCGATGAAGGGCGAAGACCACCTCAAGGCGTCGATCGTCCCCATCAACGAAAAGATCTTCCCGCGCATCCTCGCTGGTCTGGAAGCGCGCCTGGTCGGTCCATACTTTCTCGGGGACAAGATCTCGTACGCCGATATATTCTGGCTTGATTTTTACCAACAAATCTGGCAAGGCAACGCGGCACTGCTGACAGCGCGCCAGACGGACTTCCCCAAGCTCGTCCTGCTGGTCGCCACGTTGCGCGGAGCAGCGCCGCTCATCGCGTACTGGGCGGCACATCCTGCCAAGCCCGCAACGTCGCATGCGTAGCTGGCCTAAGCGCGTACTGTGCAAGATGAAGCTGTAGCTGCCGTCTACTACGTAACAAAAATTCGTTTTGTCCATGTGAGTGCTCTTGCTGGAGAAGGCATGGGACCAGCTCAGACGATCGCGTGAAGCTATCGTTTGGCCCAACGATTCCCAGATCGTTTCCAAGAGAGGCGGGCCGAGGCACGGGAGTAAGGGCGTCGTAGCATGCACGACCGATCGCCATGAAGGACGTTGGTGCGGCGTACACCGTCTGGCTGCGTGGCGCGATGTTGGCCGCTCGTCAAGACTGTGTCTGTCGGTCAAATTCGTAGGTGATCTGGTGCCGACTCTGGCTGCCAAGTCCCGTCGAGAGCAAGGAAGACTGCCAATTTGAACGATTCCTGGACGTTCAATGATTCCACGACACCTCGGCACGCCATCAAACTCGAACACGGCCGACGACCTCACACAACGATCGGAAATCGCTTCGACGACCTGACCAACAAGCCCGGCCTTGGTCGCAGCGGCCAGCTGCGTTGGGACGTGTTGGTTCTGTTGAGCGGCGACGCGGACGTGGCAAATTCCCCCTGTTGAGCGTCCGGATAATCAACCGAAGGTATCCGGATACGATGGTCTATTATCCGGATTTCCGCACAACCCAATTCGACCACAAGATTTGAAGATGGAGCTAGTCCGAGCATGGACAAGTCCTGATGGCGGCGTAAAGCAAGCGTACGTGCTCGTTCCTCTCTGGAACACTTGACGTGACGGTGGGCGTAGGATTATTAAGGTCCGGCAAGCCCTAACGTCGTCCAACCAGGACGACCTCACGGAGCTCTTGAATGCCTTGTTGTGGGGTGTAGCTCGTGGTGTCGTGCCTCAGGAAGAGATCCTGACTGCGCTGGCAGATGCCGGACTCGCAGACAATGAACATGCGACGGAGGCACTCGCGGACGTGCTGTGGGTGATTTCGAACCAGGCCGAGCGGATGCGCGATCAGGGCGATGCCACCACTTGGACCAACATGTGCTCGTTAATTGGCGCTATTCACTCGCGGGCGCTCGTGCCGTCCGTCACACTCAAGTCGGTGCTCGAGCTTGAAATCCTCCACGAAGCAGGCATCTCTTCCGAACCCCCGGCCACCGTCACGAAAAAGATCGTACGCATCAACACGCGCAACTTGTACACACAGAACAAGTTCAACCTGCTCAAAGAGGAGAGCGAGGGTTTTGCAAAGGTGCTGAGTCTTATGCATTCTGAAATCACGTGCGAGAACCTCCAGTCGACCAAGACGCATCTCCTTTCGTTGATCGGTACGGCTGCCATCTCGATCGTTGTGTCCATCTCACGCGCTCGCAGGGTACTTTGACCTGGACCCGAACCGCGTGCTCGATCTCGTGCTGGACGCGTACGAGGTGCACTACACGAACGACTGCTTCATGGAGCTCTTGACGGAATTCAAAGTCGACGGCCTCGCACATGTCCTCGGATTCAAATTCCACTATTACACCCACCAGTCCAAGCCCGCCCCTCGCTCGCTGTATCGACTTGCCGCGACGATGATCCGAAACGGCCTGCTGTCGCTGGCGGCCATGTTTTCTCACCTGTCTCCGACCAAGGAAGCGATCGTCGCGTCCGCCCAGCAAGATCGAGCAACCCTCGTCGAACGCGCCAAATCGTACGGCAAGGTCAACCTAAACGCAAAAAAGGACGACGACGGCGATGGCGGCGCGACCGTGCAAGCCACCGTCGAGTCCAAGCACGCGTCGAATCAAGTGTATGGACTTATCATTGGGCTGCTCGAAATCGGCGCGACGGACCAAGGATTTGCCCTCATCGAATGGTTTACGAGCCGCCAGGTCAACCCGCTCGAGTACAAACCGCTGGCGCTGCAAGTGTGCCAGTTCATTCACGATCTCGTGGACGAAGTGTACGCGCCGCTGTCGCTCAAGGCGCTCCAGTTTGCCACAAAGCAGCACCGAGGGGCCGAGAAAGACCGACGCCGAGTGGTCGCGCCGGTCCAGTCCGTCGACGAGTTTGTCGTTGCCGTGCTGCCCAAGCTCCACTTGGTCGGGGGGCATCTGCATTACGATCAGTTCCTCTGGACCAAGCTCTTGCGCATTCTGAACGGCAGCACCGCGATCCCGCCGGACGCTGTCGAGTCGCTCATTCACACGTGCTTCATCCCGGCCATGTCGATGCACCACTGCTGCCCCCACCTCGTCTACCAAACGTGGGACCTCCTCAAAGCGTACTCGGTCCAGAAGCGGTACGGGTTTTACCTCCACTGGCAATCCCTGTACAGCTCGACGCCCGACCTCATGCTCAAGCACGCGCAGACCATTCAACACACGCGGAAGATCATGCGGCGGCTCACAGCCGACAAGACCAAGCCGACCGGCCGCCTCCTGACCCACGTCGCGCACGCCAACCCGCTCGTTGCGTTTCGCACGATTCTTCAGCAACTCCAGTCGTACGAAAACCTCATCCAGCCCGTTGTCGAGTGCCTCAAGTACATGTCGCCACTCGGGATGGACGTCCTGTCGTACGTGCTCATTTCCGAGTTGAGTCGGCCACGCAAAACGTTCAAGGCGGACGGCCACAACGTGTCGCTGTGGCTGTCGTCGCTTGCCCAGTTTGCCGGCAGCTTTTATCGCAAGTACCCGACCGTCGAGCTCGGCGCCCTCCTCTCGTTCTTGTTTCGCCGGCTGAGTTCGTGGGAAAGCGGCGAACTCATCGTGCTCAGCGAACTACTCACAAAAATGGGTACGTTGCGATTCCAATCGTTGTGCTGTGCGTTGGTGGCGCATGGGAGTCGTCGTTTCGAGATGGAAGAGGGACATGAGCGCAGGTGCCGCCTTGTCTGGGTTGAGTCGACCTTGTCGACGGTCTCGTGGGGTATTTGTTGTGTGCTCGATGATGCGCCATGAAGGCGGTCGCGGCGTAGCACAGGCACCGCGCGGGTGTGGCATGCGTGCCCATGACTCCATGAGTCCATCGTGCCGTTCACCTCGTCTGCGTTGCGGTGTTTCCGAGTTGATATCGCGACGAAATACGTGTCCGAATTCAACATTGAATGTCATGGCTCGTGCGCCGACCGCGGGTGGAGGCTGACATGTCGTCGATAGGGTCTTGTCTCGCTCTTGAAGACATTTCGACGACTCAGTTGGAAGCACTTGCGGGCGGACCCAATTTGGGCTTTGAAGCGCCAGACCCCAAAGTCAACAACAAGCGCGCGATTCCGTGCCTGCGCAACACGCTGGTCAAGCAAAACTTGGCTTGGCCGCTGAGCCTCGTGATTAGCCAAATGCGAAGCCAAATCGAATTCGACAGCGACACGGGCGCCAAACACCTCAAGCTCCTCGGGTCCGGCTACGACATGGCGCAGCGGACGCTCAACCAACTGCTCGCGTTTCTGCACGCGGCCGCCGACCCATCCACGTATATTGCGTCGCTGCCGTCCGTGGCCCAGCTCATCCACGAATTCCATGTCCCCCACGAACTCGCGATGGTTCTCGTTCGTCCCGCCATGCGCGCGCACGACCCGCTCCTTCGAAAAGGTATATCCCGACTCGATCGTGCTGTGTTGACTGCCTTGCATTTGCGCCGTCTTGGTGAAGCGTGTGCTGGCACCGCCATTGTGTCCAAGTGGATTGCGTGGTGTGTGCTGAGGTGTTTTGCGTGCCCGACATGTCTTCATGCCACTCCACGAACGATCATGAGTTGCATGTGTCTCACATGGTGTCGCAGTCAGGCGTAGTGTCCATGCTGGTGGCAGCGGCAGTTCGTCGTCGGAAGAAGCAGGGCCGTGGTACATGTACAGCGCTACACTCTTGGACGACGTGGAAAAAGCATTTGGCGCGGCGGCCGGCGACGGCCATCCGTTTGGCGGCATGACCAAACAGCTCTTTACAACGTTCTGGGGCTTGACTCTGTACGACATTTACGTTCCCCATGGCCAGTACAACGCCGAGATTGAAAAAGCCAAGAACGACTTGAAGCAACTCGCCGCCGGCAACGCCACGGTACCATGCATTGCTGTGTCGAGTGAGGTGGGAAGCGCGCATGGCGACCGTGCGCGCTCCGTGTGTTTGGGTCATGGTGTAGCCGTCATTCGTGCAGCGTCGTCGTTCGTGTTTATATATCTGGCTCGAGCTTGGTTTCGCACCGGGAGAGCTGTGGTGGCGTTTTCGTCCGTCGCTCGATCGGCGGAGCATGGCGATCATGTCGGTTGTGCTGTAGGGCGAAGGGGGGAAGAAGAAGCCGAAGGAGCGGCTCATGAGTGTGATCGACAATCTCGTGAACGAGATGAAGGACCAAGTGGCGCACCGGAAAGCTGTATTTGGACGCATCGAAGAGCACAAGGACGAGTTCTTTCTCCCAACCCAAGACACGACGGTGGTGCAATTGCTTCAGCGATGTGTCCTGCCGCGGTCGTTGCTGTCGCCGGAAGATGCCGTGTACTGCGCCAAGTTTATGCACCACTTGCACTCGATCGGTGTCCCGAATCTCAGCACGCTCCAGTATTACCAAAAAGTGACGCTCAACCTGTCGGGGCTCGTGCTGTGTACGACGGAGCGCGAAGCGTCCAACTTTGGCATTTTCATGCGCGAAACCTTTTCGCTCTTGAGTCGATGGTACCAGCACGCAGACGACTACAAGGCCGAAGGGACCCGCACCGGCTTTAGCTTGTCCTTGACCGATCCGACCAACGTCCTCGACTACGCCAAGTACAAAAACCTGTACGCGAAATGGCAATCGCACCTCGACAAAGTGTACACGCACACGTTGGCGACGGGCGACTACATGCCGACGCGGAATTCGCTCGTGCTACTGACCAAGATGATCGATGTATTTCCGACAACGAAAACGACGTCGGACAAGCTGTTCGCGCTCGTGGAAACGTTGATGCAAGACGACCGAAAAGACTTGAAGCTCATGGCGACGAGTTACTCGGCGCTGTTGAAGCGCCGCATCAACACGTTGTTCGCCGACATGAAAGCCACGACGTCCGAAAGGTCGCCCAGCACCCAGACCGCGACGACCACCACCACAAGCAGCTCGTCCAAGCGCGGCCGGTCCCGCGATCGACGAGATGCGCGCGATAAAAAGGACGACGCGTCGGAGCGGGCGACGCGAGGCCGGTCCCGCGACAAGAAACCAGACTCGCTGCCGCCTCTCGCCCCCGCGGACAAGTCGACCGGTGGGGCAAGTGGCGGCCGAGCAAGGGACGGCAAGCGACCTGCAGAATCGCCGTCGACGCCGACGGACAACAGGAAAACGTCGAGCGACAAAGACCGGAAGGAATCGTCGACGACGTCGGAAAAGGACAAGAAGCAATCGTCGACGGACAAGGAGCGGAAGCCGTCAACGACTGAAAAGCCATCCCGCGGTCGGTCGCGGGAAAAGCCCAAGCAATCCGAGTCGTCCAAGCCCCCCACGCCGACGGAAAAAGCGCAAAGCCGATTGCCGCGGGACAAGAAGCTCACGCCTCAGACAGAGGCATCGCAGCTGACGCTGTCGTCAGCGGATCGCGCGCCACGTGGCCGCTCGCGAGACAAAAAGCAGCCCGCGGCGGACGACTCGTCGCAACAATCGGCAGCAGCGGACAAGCCTGCGGATCGACCGAGGGACACGGCAGCAGACAAGGCGGCGGAGAAGCCCACGGACGATGCGACGGACATAGCGCCGGGTGGTCGATCTCGAGACATGCCTAATTCACAGGGTGAATCGAAAGACTCGAACAAGCGCACGATTCCTGCCTTGGCGACCGAGGCGAGCTTAAAGCGGCAGATTGTCGAGCGCGAACAGAAAAAGCGCGAGCGGGAGGTGGCCGATGCGGCCGACCAGCCGAGCGCCAAGTCCCGCAAACTCACGTCGTCGTCGTTGGCAGATGTAAACGCAAAGCGCGTCCAGGACGAAAAGAAGCGCCGACTCGAGCAGCGCAAGTCGTCGGAAGCGGCGACCGACGCGTCGAGCGATGCCAAACTTTCAACGAGTCGCAGTGGTGGCGAGTCAAGAACGGTCGAGCCGCCGCGAAGCAGCAACCACAGGCAAGACCGACACGACCATAGCTATCGGTCCGACCGCGCGAATCGGTACGTCGTCGTGCGTTGGGCTCGAGTTCTGACTGCTGACATAGAGACCGACGTGATGGTGGCAGCGGCCGCGACAACTCGAGGTGAGCGATGCGCAAGTGCTTGAGACGGGCGCTACTAGCACGAGAGGACACAGCGTGCTGGTGGACATTGTGCACGGTTGTCGAGCCAACAACTCATGTCGTGCTTTGTAGGCGCTATTGAGTCTGTTTGGAATGTGTATTAAAAGCGGGAAGAAGCAGTTCGATCGAGGTCGGTCGTTGTCGACGTCTTGGATGGGAGTTTGGTCGTGTGGAAGGAGAACGAGTTCTTGGCGCTGATGAGCTTGGCTTTGTCGACGGGGTCGAGCATGACTGCTGCGTCCGTGGTCGCGCGGGGCCGCATCGCTTGGCTGCTGCGCTCGGCGCGCTGCTTCGCTTCTTCGGCCGCCACCACCTCCTGCTTGGCTTTGTCGAACGCCTGTACGAGTAGTCAGGAACACAAGTCGAAAGGGCAGAGCTCGTGTGCAGCGTACGGTGCAAAACGACGACAACGTGAGGAAAAACTCGGTCGGTTTCTTGGCCGGGTCTTCGCCAAAGTACTCAAACACGGTTGTCAGCTCGTGCTTCATGGCAGCCATGCGCTGCTGCAGCGCGTCCAGTTGGTGTGTCGACGCGGCAATCGACGCTTGCATCGACTGGACGACACTGGACTCTGCGTTGTCCTGTGGATGACGTTAGTGACCGACGATGGAGCGGCATGACCTGTTGCATGCGGCGGCATTCGTCGGCAGTCTTTTTCACGTCGCTGTCGAGCGCGGAAAACAGTTGGTCGATCGACTCGATCGGTTCCCGCGCCGCCAACGACACGTGTTGCAGCTCCGTTTGAAACTCGAGCACGTGCGGCTGGTTCTTGCGCAGCACGCGCACCAAGTAGTGGAGCACGGTCGTCTTTTGATCGTTCGTTTTGGTGTGGCCAAGGCGGAGCAGGGAATCGACAGAGAACCCGCGCACCGCATGCTCGGTCTCGTCCCCGCCGTTCAACGTGTTGCCGAGCTTGAGGACCGTGCCCAGGAGAAGTTTGAGCAGGCGGCTCGCTTTCACATCTTCGCACGCGTGGATCACGTTCGAGATGGACGTTGTCAAATCCGTCACGTGCGCTGCAAACGCTTGCTTCGAGACCAAACAGTCCATCTTGATGGCAAACCGGGGCACGGTGGCGATGGCAGCGAAAAACTTCTCGGCCTACGCAGTCCCAATCGCATGAGCAGGCGCACCACGCGCTCGTCTTTTCGCAGGCATTGCAAGAGACCCTGCGTGTGCTAGTCCATTGCACACCGCGCAAATGTACCTCTCCAAGAACGGATGGGTCGCCCGAGTATCGCTGGACGATCCCCACTTCTTCGTCGGTGGGCAAGAACTCATGGATCGTGGTGAGCTGCTCCAGGGTCAGCCCCATCGCGTCGTACGTGAGGATCGCCTTGGCGAGATCGGCATAACTCTGTTTGATTCGGGCGAGCGCGATCGCAGCGTTCATCGCGCGCTTGCCATCGACGAGGGTCACCGCTTGCTTCCGGGCCAGGGGTTTTGCGACGGGTTTCTTGACCACGGTCGTTTCCTTGAAGAACAGCGTCTCGATCTCGTCCATGTCGAATTGAATGTTGTGATCTTTGTCCTCCCAAATTGTGCTCGACGCCCGCCTCAGTCGATCTTCCGGCAACGCTTGCCAAAACAATTTCTTCCGTCGGACGGCTTTCTTGGCGGGTTTTGGCGGCGGCGACGACGGCGAAGTCAAATC